GTATATATGAGGTGTATGACACAACACAGAGTGACACGTTCATGGAAGGAGTGGGAATTTTAATGTACACATAAAAGATATTTGTCCAGTTCTGAGCTTCAACTACTGTTTTCCATTCTGATGTTTGGTTTCTATTCATGTTGATGTTCCACCATTTTGGTTAGGGTGACACTCATAGTACTAGTGTCGCACTTTACGGTGCAAATAGATGTATTGATCATCTCAGACTGTAAAGAAAGATGGTGCAAATCGAGCCTTATGGAGCAGCGGCTGGGCAGCCAACAGATATGCTGCTGATAGACATTTTCTCTACAAGTGTAGGAGTTTCCTTTGCAACAGGTGGGCCCTAAGAGGGTCCTATGCCCTGATTGGGTCCCACCTTGTCAGATTTAGGACTAGCCTTTGGAGCTGCAGAAATTTAAAGAGGATAAAGGGAATGAAGTCAGAGTAGGAAAAGGGAACCTCGTAAAGAAAAAATGGAAATTGGGACATGAGGGGTCTGTAAAAAAGAGAGGCTAGACTGTGCCAGGGACATAAACTGATAATGTGAATAGCTTTCTGTGTTCAATGCAATCTTGTCCTTTTGGTTTTAGTTTGATCAAACAAAATGCCTTCATCATAAACAAAACAGATGAAGTGGGCGAACAACGCACTTGGTGTATAATTCACACAGGAAGGGAAGAGCAACGCCTGAGCCTCGACTGTCAGCTTGTAGCTTCAAGGATTCTGAGCCAAAAGTGGCATGGTAACCTCTCATCATGAAAATAGTCAGGTCTAGTCTTTGGCATAAAGGATAATCATTTCAAAGGCAACGCTCCAAATTTTTACTTGGAAAGAAAGAAGACATTTTGATTATTTGGTGTGAACTGGACCTTGATCAGGAATATCTTCTTGCAAACAGTAAAAGTTACATGAAAAGGGCTGCTTGTATTGGGTCTATTTAAATCAAACCGCAACACAAGCTAGTTGTATTTCCCAGAGATGATTAGTGAGTGGGCACTGCCCTCTTGTGTTACATGAGAACATGACACTAATTCACAGCAGTGAAACAATAAACCTTACATATACACTCATCTAAAGGATTAATAGGAACACCATACTAATACGGTGTTTGACCCTCTTTTGCCTTCAGAACTGCCTTAATTCTACGTGGCATTGATTCAACAAGGTGCTGGAAGCATTCTTTAGAAATGTTGGCTCATATTGATAGGATTGCATCTTGAAGTTGATGGAGATTTGTGGGATGCACATCCAGGACACGAAGCTCCCGTTCCACCACATCCCAAAGATGCTCTATCGGGTTGAGATCTGGTGACTGTGGGGGCCGTTGTAGTAGAGTGAACTCATTGTCATGTTCAAGAAACCAATTTGAAATGATTAGAGCTTTATGACATGGTGCATTATCCTGCTGGAAGTTGCCATCAGAGGATGGGTACATGGTGGACATGAAGGGATGGACATGGTCAGAAACAACGCTCAGGTAGCCCGTGGCATTTAAACTATGCCTAATTGGCACTAAGGGGCCTAAAGTGTGTATGTTGTGGCTTCACAAATGCTTTGTTGCATTCCTCGGTTGTAACGAGTGGTTATTCCAGTCAGAGTTGCTCTTCTATCAGCTTGAATCAGTCGGCCCATTCTCCTCTGACCTCTAGCATCAACAAGGCATTTTCGCCCACAGGACTGCTGCATACTGGATGTTCTTCCCTTTTCCCACCATTCTTCGTAAACCCTAAAAATGGTTGTGGGTGAAAATCCCAGTAACTGAGCAGATAGTGAAATACTCAGACTGGCCCGTCTGGCACCAACAACCATGCTACGCTCATAATTGCTTAAATAACCTTTCTTTCCCATTCTGACATTCAGTTTGGAGTTCAGGAGATTGTCTCGACCAGGACCACACCCCTAAATGCATTGAAGCAACTGTCATGTGATTGGTTGATTAGATAATTGCATTAAGAACAGGTGTTCTTAATAATCCTTCAGGTGGATGTATTTTAGACTGAAATAAAATACTAATTATTCCAAACACTTCCTAACATCTGATTACTGTAGTTGAAATAAACTCACCAGTCCTGGAAATATTTTCCAGTCTCTTACTGTCCACTTCTGGTAATTCTGTGTAAGGTGGTTTGGTTTTCTGCTGCTGGAGTCCATCTGCTTCGAGGTTGTGGTGAATTTTGTTGCCTTTCAATCATCTAGACCAAGTCTGACCTCAACATTTGTTGCTCACTGGAAATCTCATTGGGCCATGTCATGCCAAAAATGGATCAATCTCTGAAATCCACCTCTTGCATTATGCTGGTGAAGGTTCTCAGTCATCCAGGATATATAATCCTGTGATCAGTACTATTTTACAAGTAATTATAATCTTGGACATTTGCACTAGACATTGAGGACACATAATGCTAAAGTCACACAACACATTTCCTTTTGTCTGATCCAATCAGAACCTTTGTTCCTGGCGTGAGGCGTGGTTTTCTGTGGTGTTTGTATTAACCCTCTTTTGCATGTCAAATTCTGATTCGCCAGTAAACCAAAATATGACAATTATAAAAACTATCCCCCGCCACCTTTTCTTTAGTTCAAGCGTTCCAGAAAAGTCTGGGACAGGCCATCTGGACTTCCTCTTCAGCCAAAGAACCTCGACAAGCTGGATAAAATCTGTTGCAAGTTACACCTGACCGCAACGATTCCTTCAGAATAAAAGCTGAACCTCACGACCCCTTCAAGGTCTCGCTGACGCCAATGAACCTGTCGTGACCTGGAAGCATTCCAAGACTAGTTTGGTCGGCACTGCTACTTTTCTACTGGCTTCGGTTCCAAGGAGGGTCCAAGAGGACCTCAACATTCTGAATCTAATCGGAGGCTTTCCCTGCGTACGTAGACCGACAGATAGTGTTTCATGTGTGTTATAAATCTCCGACTAAAGCTTAGAGCGAAATATTCACTCCCACTCAGAACTAAATGCTTCTCCGGATCCTAAGGTTCTGATAACCACATTCCACACATACATCATTCATCTCACACCTCACTCCACCTTAGTCCATCAGTACACAGAGTGTTTAAGTTAGTCTTGTTTAAATTTTGTAGAAATAAATTTCTTAACTATTATCAACCTGACTCTCTCTCTTTCCTTGGAGTTAATACGAAGTGTTGCTTAATCCCTGCAATAAAAAGATCTAATCTGGTTAAAATATTCAAAGATCCATCAGATTGATATTTCATATTTCTATAGAGTCTCACATTTTATGGTTCATAAGTAAGATGTAAACTACCCATCCTTTACAACATCAAGAAATAATGAACATCGACAAGCATTCCCATATTTAAGGATCTTTTTTACGTTTTTAGATTTTAGTTATTTTGAGTCGACGTGTCCATTTTGTTTACCCCAAATTCCAACTTTGCAAATATCCACGTCAATTAGTATTGAAAGGTAGGAGGCCTCCGGAGCATGAGTATAATAACCAATCACACCTCTGATCTTATGATTTTTTTTTATTCGAACAGTTGTGCAAAATTATTTTAAGCTAACTGTTAGCATGTTGGTAGCTGGCTGTTCTGTATTGATATCCCTGGAGTCTTCATCCAAACACAGAGCTTTCAGGGGTTAACGGAGCAGCTAGAGATATTAACCAGAGGCCGCGGGTGGAAAAAACATGTTGACTAGACAACACAATAATTACCATATCAATCGCTTTCAACCACAGCTGCTTAACTAAGATCAGTATTAAGTTTCCAAGCTAATTTCTACCACCTAACATCCTAGAATCACTCAAACAAATCTTACAGAAAAATATATATGAATACATGTTTTTGTTATTTAAAAAACAAATATACAAATATTTGTTTCAGCTGGAATATTCTTGAATACAGCAGCTGAAGCATATTAAACATGAAGACCTCTATCCCCACCTGGTGGTGAAAAAAGCTCAATCCTGGCAATAAAAATGATCCAAAATACCTGCCAGTAAACACATCCGATTCATCCTCTCTGACCTACGGCAATACGACCTGATTGTGTTGAGACTCGGATTTGTTAAAGTTGCTTTTCTCAACGTTTTGTATCAAGACTCAATCTTGTGTGACCAACAAGTGAAGTTTACCACAGGTTAGATGTCTTGATAAGATACCATAAAATTATTGGTCTATATTTCATACATATTTAAAATGAAACTATTTCACTACCAGCCAGACTACAACAACGTTGCTCTGTAGCGCAGATTTTCTGTTAGCTTAAGTTTATTGATCGTGAAAACTGTCCAGACGAGGACCAGGACAATTAGATGACCAATTTTCACATTTAGGTAAGTTGGCTCATGGTTCTTTTCTGGCGAATTTTCATTTGGGCTAGTTTGCGTGCATCCCAGTGTATTTTGGGACTTGTAGCTTTAGTGGCATTACTGTATGTTGGTCTTGAGGTTGGTGTGTTGTAGGTCGCTTGAGCCTCGTTGCATTGAACGCCAGCTAGCAAAAAAAAAAAAAAAAAAAACTTCATAAATTTGTGTTTTTAAGAGGGCAGGCTTGGAAAGGAGCTTGCGTACCTTGAGAGTGAACACCACGCCTCTAAAATTGATCTTCACCCCACGTGTGTAACACGTCATGTGATCATGAAGCAGACGACCCACGAATTAGCAGAATTTTTTGGGACGCCGCTGTGAAAAAAGCGAGGTGACCCTAACTGGAAATGTTCTGCAGCCCACACTTCAACAGATTGTGCATTTCTTTTGGTAGTTTTGGTGTTTACATGATCATAGAGCACAATATTCTGTTACTCTTCCAAAAGCAGTAAAAATGCTCAAAAACGCTGGCAGGCGGAGGCTTTCTGTTAACGGCTGGCAGCCAATGAAGTAATGAAGACACCCTTATCGTACTTTCCGTTGGTTTATAACAAATTCCAAGGGCAACACAATGTGTCACACATAGTCTTTATCCACTAAAATTATTTAGAAATGTAACTTTTCTTTAACTTTTTTAAAAACACAACCCAACACAAAACATTAACGGCAGGCTTTTGAACTTTATTGGCATTTTCTTTTTTTGTAGCAAGATCTGTCATTTTAATTCCAGTTACAATTGATGCATACCAACTTCATCAGAAGATGTGAGAAGTATTTTAGGCAAAAGTTCTCCAGTTTACTGAGACAAACATGTATTTGTAGATTCGTTGTTAACAAGACTCAACTGGACTGAGTCGGGCAGGTAAATCATGCGGCTTTAATTGACTGAAAGATCTGGCTATTGCTGAGGCTTTTGTAGGATAGGACTAGTCCAAAAAAAAGGGTTTGGCAATACTCAAGCTGTCACAGTTCAGGTTAAATGAAACAGACACACAACAGAATTATTTAAACAAAAGTGCAAAAGGCAGATTATCCATTAGGGATGATTAAGAATTCCAGTTTACAAACTTGGATTTGTTTTTAAACTTCTGCCCCCACATCAAGTTCAACAGATTCACAAATCTTACTATACAGAAAAAAATTCAAAGTGCAAATATTAAAAATTGGTATAAGCTTGTATATACATTTTATTCTACAATAATAAAACAAAAGTACGTGATGAGCTTCAGGGTTTCTTCGACTAGTGAAACGAGCATGCCAACTTCCCGGGCTCCATTTTCAAATCACCACATTTCATCGCTGTCACCGTCGGCAGAAACTTTTTTTTTCTACGCCGACGTTTTATTTAATGGATCAGAGGCGTGTCACATCACAAGGTTCTCGCTCAAAGAAAAGGGATATTCCAATCTACTCAAGAAAATCCTTGAAAGAGATCCAATCGTCGCCTTTCCATGCGGAACGAGTCGCCTTCCTCCACTTATCTGGCGTCTGTGGCCATTTGTGTTTACAAAGGTGTCCTCGTCCTTTCCACGGGAACAGGATCTCTTTCAGTGACGGCCCAACTAATAAACTACTTTTTAGAACGCATCCACCATAATCGAAGGCCGTTACTAATAAGTCAATTGCATAAGACTCTTACACTCCGAGGAGTTCTTAAGAAATAATGTAAATTATACCGTGCATTACAGCACAGAACGTAAGAACGCGTCTTATCCACAGCACCAAAGCCGGACCCGTCTGGGCCGTTTTGCACCTTAAACTCCAACCTTAGAGAAGTGAGAGTTTGGAAGTGAAAATGTTCACATGTGAAGGTTCACATCAACTAATCTGAAACAATAAATTAGGTTTTATTTTATTCCAGGCAGGTGAATTCGGAGCATTTTTGACTTCATTTTCCTTTGATTCAAAGGGACAACGGGGATCGCTGGAGTGGTGTATGAAGTCTTGCTCTAGACCCTTTCATCATGAACCCGAACTTTTAGAGGTGGAGTACCAAAGAGACAGCTGAACCTTGAAAATGGATTCTACTGGATTTGGTCTGGCTTATTTTCTCCACAACAGACTAAAGCTTGAAAGAGTTTTCTTCAACTTACGAATGGTTTTCAATGAACCAACTCAAGAAATCAATTCAACGTTTTTGGGGGGATTCAACAAATGCATTCTTCAATTTTAGACCAGTTATCTAAATGATTCAAAAATATGGTTTATTTCAAAATACTTTTAGTTAATTGATGTATGACTGCATACATTCTGTAACAAACTAATTAATTTAAACTTCAATAAAAATCCCTTGATGAACTGAACATTGAATCTATAATTATTCCATAAATATTTGAGAAAAATCAATTGTTTTAAGAAGTGGATTCTTTGATCAATCGGTTTACATTTAATCAATTTGTTTCTAAAATTCTGTTATTTGGTTAATCAGTAATTGAATTAAATGACTTTTTGACTAATTGTTTATTCAATATAATTTTGAAGAAAGCAGTTATTCTTGCTTATTTGAAAATCAAATCTTTCTAGTTTCATTATTCTTTAACAATCTCCAAGGAGTAGCTTTTGACAAACCGATGACTTGAATTAGGTAGCTGATAAATTAAGCTGGGCGTACACTGTGCAACTTTTCCACCCGTAGCACTCAGCTTCAGCTCAGGCTGTACGACTTCCAGATCTCACGAGTCATGTGCTCACACTGAATGTCTGGTAGCAACACGTCGGCCCTAAAAATAACTGCTAAAAATAGCAGTTTTTACTCAACACGTTAGACTTTTTTTTGGTCTTGTTTTGCCTGTTGTCCTTCGGGAGTGCTGCAGGAGGACACACGAGGATTTATGGGGGTTGGATGAGGAAAACGAAATAAAGAAAGCAAATCTGTGTTTAGTGATCAGTTTAATTTGACATGAACACGACAAACACGCTTTCTTGACAATCTTTGTGAGTAAAAAACGTGTAGAAATACCAACAACGTGTGTTATTAGGGAAATAGCGGGCGACCGGTGTTGATGCATGATTACACATGCGCCGTGAGCGGTTCTGATACATTTTGGGTCGCAGCTGCTCGCAGCGCCGCTTCAACAGTGCGATACCCTCACGAGGGACGAGCGAAATATCAAACACGCCAGACGTCCGTGCGAGCTCACGATTGCTGATCGGTAGCTGGTCACGTGGCGTTAATCACCTCTCGTAACCCCCGGTACACTACACGACGCTCAGCGCAAAACTCGCCCCGATCTCGTGGATTCTCGCACGAGTGGAAAATCGGCTCAAAAAAGTGAAAAAGTCACACAGTGTACGCCCGGCTTTAGTCACTCAACGGATTCCTTGATAAGCTGATAAAATGAATCAGCTATTGAATAAATCAATTCAACGTTGAATCAGTTATTTTATAAACCAATCATTAGATATTGTTTTTCCAATAAATAAGTTAAGATAAACTAATTTATTAAATGAATTGTTCATAGAAAAGATCAGTTATTGGGTAAACTGTTGCTTTAAAATTTGACTCATTGTCCTAAAATATTTTAGGCGTTGACACAACTTCACACGTCAGCTCAAGGATGACATGTAAACAGATGAGGGTGCATCCAGTTTCTTCAGGTTCATAATTCTTATTTTATAGGAAAAGACTGAGGTTTCGTTTTAGCTTCCCGCTGTCAAACTCAGAAAGAATGCTACAAGATGGTTAAAGTAAGACTTGATCATAACACCCTAAATTTAAAAAGGTGTTTGTTTTTTTACCAGTACCACACTCGTTTATAGATTAATTGTAATGTGTAACAGTTAAGACAAAAAAGACCCCAGTTTGAAGCTGAAATCCACTTTAAACTCGGCAGCAAGCTGCCTTTAACACTGGAATAGCAACAATCTAAATCAGAGTAACCAGAGTGGTTTACTTAGTTTTACTGACGAGAGCTCATTCGGAGTAAAAGCATCTTCAGCGATCTCTTATCTAAACAGCCGTCCAGCATTTGAGGCGCAACAGATGAGCTGAGGAGGTTTGAATCAAAGGCAAATGTAGGAAACCTAAATGTTCCAGGGATTTCAAAGACAAACGTAATGACACCGATTTCTCCCTACGTCAGTCTTCTTTTCTCTTCTCCTTCCCCGTTTCCTCTCTTCGCTGTCGGGCTCCTGAGTCAGGTCATACGAGGGCGGGGGAAGGAATGCCGTTAGGGATACCTGGAGAAAAGGGGATACCCGATAACTACAGCACCTCAGAGCGCCCAGCAGAGTGCGCTCTCCAGCCTGCTGTGACTGGTACCTTTAGTAGAGGAAGAAGAGGCGCGTTCTGTGAGAGGTGGCCATGTTTTCTGACATGTTGCGAACTTTAAGATAATTCACAAAACCTCTGAAGAACAGCAAGAGACCTGCGAGGGGGAGAAATGTGGTTCTTCTTTAGAATGAAGGCCAAATCTTTCTTTTTGGTTTTGTTTTCAACTCCTGTGGACTCACCAAGCAGCAGGAAAATCCACCAGAGCCAGTACTGGTCATTGAAGTAGCCAGTGAAATAGTCCGAGAACTGAACAGAAAAAAACATTTTCTATCGTCAGCTGTTGAGAAATTTGACAGAAAACGAGCCATTTGGCTAAATAATAGCAGATGTTTTAAATATTTTAGTTTTTCCTGGTGCAGCTGCATCCAAGATGGCTCTAAGACCACATAAGAGTATTGCCAGTTACCTAGAAAAGTAATCTGATTACTTTTTAAAGTAAGTTACTTTTCCAATCGCTTGATTTTAAAATTAAGAGCATCAGTAACTTTCCCCACTCACAAAAGCAGAAAGAATAATAGTTACGGTGACTTGGCTAAGTTACTGTAATCTGATTACTGGTTTGGAAGCAGGAACGCGTTAAATTACTCATAACTGAAAAAGGGTAGTCATACTAGTGTAAACATATTTGGTGGTCAAGGTTTTTTCTCTAGTTAACGTTCAGCTTTTCCCGTCTCCCACTTAGGGAATTCTCCAGGAGGCTCTGTGGTTATCAGGGTTAAACGTTAACAGATAAATGGAAGTTAGCTAGTTAAACCATTGGAAATGGGCCAAACTCACCACAAAGGCGCACACTGGCAACATTTTTACACCACTAAAAACGTAAACTAATGCTATGTGATGTTTCGATGACATCATTTACTGATTTATTGTTAATTCCGTAGCCAAGACTGGATTTTAAAACACTGCAATATTTAACGTACATTAAGACAAGGCCCCAAAATCTTAGAGGCTGACAGAAAATGAAGCTTTAACCCAAACCCTAACTTACCCTGACAATGAGAATCCACTTAATGAGGGAAAGTCCGAAACCACAGATGGCGCCGTAGCGCCCGGCGATGGTATTGGTCAGGCAGAAGGACAGGCAGAACCCGATCCAATTGAACAAGAAGGCCACTGAAAAACAATCACTCAAGATTGGCTTCAGTGCTGCTGATTACATTTCAGCTGTCGCACATCTCTGTAAACGTTTTATTTTCTTGGTGATGTTTGAACGAGAACTTACTAAAGAAGGCCAACATGAAGATCCCGTCGTTTCCAACGCGAAGCTGTTCTGCGTCACTGAAATCGTCTCTGGGTGAGAAGTCCTCGTCCTTAAACAGAGACGCACAAAAACAGAGTCATCTAAATCAACCGACGGGTCGAACACATCTGCTCTCCGCTGGCTGATTAGAAAACGACTCATTCAAGCTTTAAAAGAAAATGCTGACGAGGAACTCTGTGTTCATTCATCTTGTTGATGTTCTGCTCTGATGTGGGAGGGGTCTGGAATGCAGAAACAAACAAAGGAAAAGAGAAACCAGCCAACGCCTCGAAGCGTTTGTTTTAGTGTGCAAGCCAGACGGGTGGGGGTGTCGACCAGAAGACTCGAGAAAACCGAGTCAAAAATCGTTCTCGGAATTTTCTTTTCCTCAAACACGGAGCAGATGACTGGGTGAAAAGAGACGAAGAGAAAAGAAACAAAAAGGAGGAAAAAAGGGAATCAAAAACAAAAAATAAAGGTATCCTATTGAGTCACAGACTAATTCTTTACCCGAGGCAACACCTCCACCGTGGAGGCGGCCATGGCGGCCGCTTTGGCCTTCTCAGCCTCGTCGTACGTGGGCAGTGAAGTGGCCACGCTGTAGGGTGGAGGCACTGGGAAGTCACCTTGGAAACTGGTCTCTGTGGAAACAGGGTCACTCAGTTACAAGAGAGGAAAACTGAAACCCGGTGGTTATTCCTGAAAGTGAAACCAGAGTTTGGAAACGTAACCACGAGTCTGATACCAGGGGTTGCAGCGGTCGCTCCTAGGTCGATGGAAGCATAGGGAGGAGGAGGCGCCTCTGCTTCCACTGTTGCCACAGCGGCGGCGCTGGACTCAGACTGGTTCTGATCCTGCCCGACATCTTGGACTGAGGTGGACGGCTGCTGCTGGCTGGTGGAGGCTTCTGAAGAGTCGTCCTCGTTGTGCAACTGGAGGAGAAGCAGGAGCGCGGAAGGTGACCAACGAGCAAGGAGAAGTAAACGGAACTAAACCCAAAACCTGGCATGAGAGTTTTATACCAGCAGGCAGTTATGATGCAACTCAATGAGCTTTGCTCTGCTTTCACACACAGGCCCCAACCAGAGCTGCGCTCTCAGCTGTTTGGGTTTCTCCTGCCAAATAAGAATGTTTCCCTTTAACTTTGAACACTCAACTCCTCGATTCTGCTGCACATTTTCTCCTGTTGATGATTGTTGTCCCACCCGACCCCCCCCGACCTCTGTTTTTCCTCCGTTGGGTAAATAGTGACTGGTGTGTCATGTGATGTTTAACTCGAGTTAGGGGTGGGCAATATAAACGATATAAGCAGGGTCCGAAATTAAATTTTTTACTCACCGGCCAAGTTGGCCGGTAGATGATGAAACTCTACCGGCCAAGCATATTTTTTACCGGCCAAAATTCTAAATGATTTAGATCTACCTAAAGCATGTAATTCTATATTATGTTGATTCCAAACAGAGTGACAAAATAATTAAATCATCAATTAATAAGGAAAACAACTCTTTTGACATTTTTACTATTTATTTATTTTTAGAGATGTTTTTATGAACTCTTTCATTGAAATCTAGTCAGACTCCTTGTTTTCTCTGTCCATGAAGTCTGGCCTCCAGCTTCTGACACCGTCTTTGTTTCAAAGCCTCATTTGGGTCATAGTCCTTGATCTCTGGAGAACACAGCTGCACCATGAGAATATCTGAAAGTGTGTCAGGGCTAGGGTTGTCACGGTAACCGGTGTAGCAGTAAACCCTGGTAAAAAAGTTGACAATAATAACCGTCTTGTTTTAAAAAAATTATCTCGGTGAATTACCGTGGCTGCGGTGTAGGCGCGGTGACCCTTACCAGCCACCGTATCATCTGGAAGTTATCGGCGGCACATGCGCGCTTTGTTGTTTACGACCAAAATTTTCTTTAAAGAGCAAGTCACCCCCTACCAGATTCTTACTCCACTCCCACTTCATGTTTGAAAAATGCAACAAATGCTGTTGCTTGGCAGACCGAGAGGGCGGAGCCGCTAAAAAATACACACACAGGCTCACAATGGCATGACATCATAATGTACCAGATGACATCATAGCATACCTCTTAGCCAATAGCGATGGCAGATTTAAATTCAAATACAGTGCAGAGTTTTTACCTGACAACGGCTCAACACTGCCAGTTTTAGGCAGAATATTTAAATTTTAACCAAGACGCACTGAAGTGCCAAATTATTGACTACACATGTCTGTAGCATGATTAGCCACTCCTTTATATAGTTTATCAGTAAAAAAAAATGTGATTTGGGGGTGACTTGCTCTTTAAGCTAAAGCTGAAATAATGGCAGGAGGAGACGGCAGCGCTCGGGACATTTATTATCCCTCAAAGAAGACAAAGTCGGTACTATGGGCATTTTTTGGATATTTGAAGAATGCCGAGGGCCAGTTGTCTGTGAAAGGCAGCAACGCTACGTGGCCATCATAATGTAGCCATTGTCTCACAACTCCGCCGTCTCCAGTTCGCCACTTTTCACAAAATCTTCTGGTTGCCACTGGTCCTGGTGGTTTTTCTTCCAGTTCGAAGAATTTTCTTTTGGAAGGCTGGCTGACTCCAGTTAAAAACCGCCACATTTCACCGCTAGTTTTAACACGAAGCTAACGGCTAACTTCATAAACTGATTGAATGGGATAGGTGGAAATGACGTTGGATGCGGCGTTCACGTTTCGCGTACGTTTGTGCATGCAGGCGGGAGGAGTATCAGAAATCCGTGGAAGATGACTGATAAACATAACTAATTTGGTGCAAACATTTACTCGCCAGGTGGCAGGTAGAGCTCAAAAATTTACTCGCCAAATGGAGCAATTTACTCGCATTTGGCGAGTGTTAATTTCGGACCCTGGATATAAGGTAGAAACGATATAAAATTGGGTAATAATAAGAGTTTTTGGCGATATCGCAATACCGCGATAACACATGACGTCACTAAGATGTGCACCCTGCTGACATTGGGGCAACAGAAGTGACCGCAAGCATAGAGTGGGCGGAGGAGGAGGCCTATATGCCTCAAGTGGCATAAATTTGCCACATGAGGATATTTAAAGCATGCCATTTTGAAATATATAAACAGAGGAAAAAATATATCGCAATTTATATCGTTACCGCACATGCTTCAGATTATGTCGCAATATAGATTTGAGGCCATATCGCCCAGCCCTAACTCGGGTTGTATTTACCTAATATTAAAGCCTGAAAGGTGCCGGTTCTGTCTAAATTGTCAAAAAAACTACATTTTCAAGTCGTGAAAAATCACAGAATTAGACACCACACGTGCGCCAAAACCAGAAAATACCAGGATGTCCGATGTAGTGGGCGGAGTCGAGTTGTAGAGAGCTGAGGCGAAGAGGTCCGCTGATAACACAAACAACAAAACGATGGAAGTTTAGCATCATGACCATCGTCATCAGCGGGTCAAACAGGAAAAGGTTGAAATATAAACACCTTTACTGTATAGCGATCAAATCCGCCAGAATTCATGAAATGATGTTAAGAATTTGTAAGTCAAATCTAATAAAACAGAGAAATTGTGTTACATAAGCCCTGAAAGTCATGTTTGGAAGAAGTGTTTATGTTTACAACACAGCAAATGGGTCTTTTACTGACGTATATCAAACCGTTAAGTGTCGTCCCCCCTTTGTAGTTATTCTCCGTGGCAGCTCCGCCGTCATCGTACAAAAGGAACAGAAGCTCAGCAGTAATGTTGCTAGGCCCGCTCATCGTCTCACTCCAAACAGAGAGCCGAGGTTGGTCAAGCCTGAACTTCGCTGAGCCAATGGCAGACCTGCTGAGCTCCAACGGAGCATGGCTAGACCAACCTGCAGAGCAAAACCCTTTAGCTACCGATACGGTTTGTCTAGACTTCTAGGCCGCTGGATGCTTGTAAAATATGAGAAGATAATTTAAATATTGCTCTTTTTTAGGATCAATTATGCTGCTATTGTGATCATTTAGGGCTGAAGTGGAACTAAAACCTTTATCAACTTCACGTCTCTAGCTTAGAATTGATTTTTGGAAGATGCATTAACTCATTCACTGCTATTGACGACTAAAGTCGTCATTTGCATTTTTTTACTGTTTGAGCATCGGAACGAGCCCCCGCGCTGAGAGAACAAACATCTCAGCCCTGAAGCCGTTCTTCATCCACATGCGTCACACGTCACGTGATCAGGAAGCAGAACATCCATGTATTAGGAGATCGTTTAGGGCCGTTCCTGTAAAAAAAGTGAGGCGCGAACCGGAAAAGCGTCTGCCGATCACAAGTCGACAACGGATTATGAAAGAACGGATAACGCTCGAAACACACGGCTTCTTCCTGATGTAAGAGGTGAGTCTCCTCTTAGTTTTGGCATCGACATCATCCTAGCGCGCAACGTTCCGTGACTCTTAAAAACACAGTAAAAACGGTGAGAAACGCTGGCATCGAAGGCTACTAGCGATCAGGAAACGGCTGGCAGTGAATGAGTTAACAGTAAAGCTAATCTGCGCATAATCCAAGTGTCCTGGTTAAGTGAAAAGTGAGGTCAACAGCTGATAAATTACTGCTAATGTAAAAAAAAAAAAAGGTCTGAATTATCACAGGATTGCTCCAATAAATAAATACAGGAGTACTGGCAGCGTTTGATGCGTTAGGACACCAGAGGCCACGTTGGTACGTCTCTGGAAAAGCAATCTGCATAAACGCAATCACCAAATGAAGCGTTCCGCCAAATCCAAGAGGCCCAGCTGCAAAGTTAGGCCCATTTTTCCTTCTAAGAGTCAAGAGCCGTTTGAAATTACAGAGGAGCGATGGGACATGATGGGTAGAGTGCCTGGAATGAACTCTGGGAGGGTGAAGCGAGGAAACAAGTCCTTCTCACCTTCAGAAGAAAAACATCTACAGGCAAGTCTGTACTCTCACGTGTCAACAAAGCTGAGACGAGCTGACTCAATGGGACATTTTTGTTTCTTTTACCCAACAATCTGAGCATGAGACTGTGGTTTCACAGTTTCTAAGCTCTAAATTCGCTTCGAGGCCGAATCAGACGTCACCCAAAACCACAGATAACCACGTAGCGCTATTCGTAAACCAAAGATAAGCCAGGAAGGAGCCCTGAGAGAACATCAAAATCACAATCTTTAACATTTTCTTCGTCTGAATAAAAATAACGCAGGTTGGTAAACTTTTCCACCTCGTTTCTTGAGGGAGTTCAGCTTGTTTGTAGCCTTAAATCAAATTCCTGGGTGAGTAGGGAGGCAGCTGCCACTAAACAATTGCAAAAAAAATAGCAACAACAAAAGTCAGAGTTTTGGAAAAACAAATCTTCTTGCATAGTCCTGTCCTGATGTAGACTTTAAAAAATAAGGATCGTGAAAAAATGTTCTGCATGAAGAAAGGGCAATTTTCTTTCAACTCTAAACAAGGGAAGCACCCTTAGTCCTAACCAAGGATGTGACTAATACCTGGAGAAGCTTCAGAGATGTGTTTGTCATGATAAAGTTGAGAATTTGCTTTCCGGCGGTGAGTGGACGAGTGGCTCTGAACCAAGGACGGATCAGTGCATGAAGCGTTACATAACAAGCTAACAACGCCGCCACAAGCCGCCTTCTGTGTCCAAATACCCCCCCCCCCCAAGCCCTCAGAAAGCTGAGAGGAGGCGGTCAAGACCCTGGCCACCTAATTCCTGGAAGCTGGTGTGTTGTTGAGCTACCCTGCGGGATAATCAACAGAAAAAAAAAACAACCACAAGCAGAAAAAAACTGACTTTATATTAAATGTCACCGTTTAAAAATAACTGATACGTATTTGTTTTAGCTAAACCACACCTGATATTCAAGTACCTTTTTTTTTAATTGTACTGCAATTAAAATCTACAAAGTAAACAGACACTTTTTTTTAAACAGACACTTTAAAAACACGCCTATCGTTTCCGCTCCGGGACTTTTCTACAAAACAGGTAAACAAAACTGTTTCTGTGTTTAAAAAGAACGAAAGCATGGAATTAGAAAGACACAGCAAGAACACACCTAAGATGTTCCGGGACTTTTCTTTTTTTATATATATAACGGAAGCAACTTCAAAAAGTCCCTTCTATGCTAAAACACGTGCTATCAGGCTTATCTAATATTGTCATAAATTGTGAAAAGGACTGTTTAATGTCCCTTAAACTTTGTAAAACTATTTTGGAAATAAATTGTTTAAAAAAACACATCTTTTCAAACGTGTAAGGCCGTGCCGGCTAATGTTAGCTTAGCCAATGCGGAAGTAGTTTGTCACATATCAAAACAAAAGACTTAAAGCTATTTGTTAAACATAAAAAACGACTAGAGTAATTAGGTAGAGGGTTTTGGAGAGTATTTATGTGTAAATAAAATAAGTTGGAGTTAAACAACTAAAGCGCAAATATTTTTTTATGTTTCTAAAACAAGGCCCGTTTTGGTTCAAGCAGAAGGCCGAGTAATCCACCACTGTTTTGATCCCTGCTCTTCGGGATTTACTCACCACTTGGTATCGGCTTGCTGGGTCCATCCCGACTAGATTCAGCCGGCAAACAAGCCAGGCCAGAAAACAAAAATACGAGCCTGACTTGTGAATGCACTCGGAGTTCTCAGTCACGGAAAGATTTGATTCCACAAAGGAGGAGAAACACGGCGACAGAAATGGCTGCTGACCCGATGAGCTCGCTGAGGAAAATAGACAAGCCAACGTTGAGCAACAGTCAACCAGGCTGAGGGGGGGCGGGGGGGGGGGGCGCTTCCGATCTGACATTTCAAAGTAAAACACTTTCCCAACGTTTTCCTTTTAAATGCAACAAAACACACGGGGTAAAGAATGCTTAAGAATATATCAAAGTGCATTAAAATTAACACATTTATGGTGACATAAACAAAATGAAAAGCTGCACAGAGCCACTTGCACTTCGTGGTTGGAGTAAAAAACAAGATTGCTACAATTTTTAACAAATACTAAAGTCAGCGATTATGATATGCTACAATATGATATGATAGAATAGAATGGAATAGAATAGAATAGAATAGAATAGAATAGTAGTCACTATGCCCTAAAGCACAATGGGTGTTCACTGAGGCATCATATTCTATTTAAGCAAGACAAATAAACCCTGTTTTAAAAAGGCAAATAATGTCATTGAAAATATTATTTAGGTTTTTTTTTTTTTTTACATTTCATGATCACTTCAAAATAATTATTTTAATGTTTGTTTGTTTCTTGTCACTTTGGGAACGCCGTTTTTGTTCTGTCTGAGCATCTTGCTCCTTCCACGCACACCCCATTGGTTAGCTGCCATGCAATCTTTAAACACGCTATATAAATAAAAATAGAATGGTATAGTATGGTATTTTGATTAATAAAAATATTCGAGATAACTAATCCCTGGGGTTTCACAACTGACACCCCTGCACCCACCTGGTACCATTGGTGTGTTAAAAATCTCATGATTCCGCATTTTTAGCTTTGCATTAATCCATGATGTTATAATTTCTTGAATTCTAATTGACTATATTTTATTAGATTGATAAATCACAATAATCCTTTATTTTACTAGATTTACTTAAACTTGATTTGAATTTTATTGGGGTTTTTTTTCTGTAAAGCACTGTGATCATTGTGCTTGTTGGCTATACAAATGAAACTCAGCTTAATTAATATATTTTAAAACGTAACAATTTTACAAAAGCAGTACTCAACTGTGAATTACCAAATTTGTTCTATAGCATTACACATTATTATGAAAATGGGATTGCTTTATCCTGAAAATTTTAAATGGACATACTTCATTGTTATTATTATTATTGTTGTTGTTAATAATAATAATATTAATAAATATAAAATTTTAAGTACTTTAATTTGAAATGATAATTCTTTCATTTCCGATTTAGAGTCTGATGCTTTGTAACTTGATACTGTGGGGACTGCAGGATTTCCACGTATGTTGATGATGTAATGGCACACCAGAAATTGCTGCTGAAACCACTGGGTGGTGCAATTTTCATCCACATCACCATATTTACATTCAAGTTCTTCTGATATAACAACTAATGAAATGTAATTAATTTTAAATATTTTCTTAACAAAGATTAATTAAATGTTCATGTAAAAGTAAAATTTGACCCTGGGTGAAAAATTACCCATTGGAAGTGCAAAATTCATGCAAATAACCTATAAAAAAACAAAATGGCATAACCTTTTTTTTTTCGAGCATTTTTTAAAATTTCCAACATCTAACCTTTATTATTGATATTATGAGCCAACAGCTTTTTATAATTAATGTATTTCTACTGCAGGTGCTCTAAATTTTTTATTTAAACACTTCTCTGAATATCATGATTATTTTAACAGAAACTTGCAGAACTTCATCGCTCAAATCAACACCCATGTAAATAAAATAAATGAAAATAATTCTAAGGCTCAGGTGTAATCCTGTCAAACAGCCCACTGCTGAAGTAAAAAGCCTTTGATAGATTTCATTCTCGTTGGTTCTGGCTCTGGGTGGTTTGCACTCAACAGTCTCTGGTCAAAAGGAACAGTTGTTCTTAACCACACATCATAACTGTGATTATTATCATTAACAAAGTACAGTTCAGTTCCACCAGTCATAACCAGGTCTGATTACTACCAAAACTGTAAAGTTAGGAAAGCACTGGCCTGAAAACACAAAATCGAACAAATATCAAAATCATGTTCTGTTCTAAAGAAGTTCCACAACAAAAGAACTGAGAACAAGATCTGAGAGGACACGAAGGTCTATCTCACGTTTACCAGAAAAGACCTTGATGTCCTCGGGACTTTTGGCGTAGTATTCTGTGGACTAAAAGGACAAAATGCGTCTCAGATAATGAAGATCAAACCAACAGTCAAACATGGCGGTGGAAGAGTGATGGCCTGGGGCTGCTTTGAAAACAAAAAGCTACTCTTCTAAATAATTCCTTTGGGATTAATAAAGTATTCTGATTGTTGCTTGCTGTAATTAATGGACCCATGAACCAGAGACTCATCTAGAACATTTTACATGGGGGTCACCACTAACTATCCTGTTTATTTATTGCAGATGGCCGCACTGATTATTTTTTACCTGATTTGTTCTTTAAAAGTTGGCATTTTTGGTAGTCTACAGTTTTTTTTATGTCAGTTTAAATTACAATTTCAGAGGCAATTCTAAAATATTATGGATCATGATAAAGATCTATTGGAGATCTACCCCAACTTTTGGACTGCTCTGCCAGTCACTGTGGCTCAAGCTGAGAGGAGCTTTTCAAAACTTGATCAAGTCAGACCTGAGGTCACCTATGTTTCAGGGGCGGCTCACTAACCTGGCTCTGATTAGTATCAATCACTCAGTAGGGGAGCAGTTTTCATATGATGACATTATTGATGACGTTGCATCAAGGATAGGTTTTAATTTTAGTTTGTGTTTTCTGTTCTAAGTGCAATGCTGTAGTGATTATCTTTAGTTTGTTATGTGTGAAATATTTTTGCTATTTAGAATATTTATAATTTATTATGTTCATATATTCTTAATATTTAGTTAGTTTAGTTGTTTTTGTATATTTGATTCTATATATTTTGATACAGTATATAATGTATGTTGCTTTACATTCTGATAACTTCATAGTAATTAATATAAATATGTGCATCTTAGAAAAATGAATGTTCAATAGTCATTCTAATAAAACATGCCTGTTTGTAGAAAACATGCGTGTGTGCGTGCAGGTGGGGTGGTGGTGGTGGTGGTGGTGGGGGCGCTCAAAGGGGGCCTCGCCCGGGGAGTAATTCCATGTAGAACCACCACTGGGTGGGGAGTATATTTCATACAAATAAATAAACAAATGAACACGTTCAAAGGACAGATTCAGAAAAATAACAAATTGTTGTGCAGAACCAGTTTCTGGTTTCGACAGTAAATCCCAAAGGACCTTTGACCCATAAAAAGACCATTGGATTAATTCCTGTTTCCATATAGGACCAGAGTAGCTTTGATCTGCAAGGAAGCACATACCGTAAATCCTCTAATATTGGCCTGTATTTAATTAACTGCCGGGTATCATATTTTGGCCGGTGTCGGAGTCGGCGGAGGTGAATAATGGCCGTTTTTTTTATTGTGGCCGGGTGGAATGTGGTAACAAGCAAGTACGGGGGCGGTTGGGTCATCCGTCTCACTTTTGATTTGCCAGTGATAGACCGCGAGGGTAACTTTAACCATGGCAGGTGCGGAGACGAAGTGGAGGCGAAAATTTGATATCAAGTTCAAAGAGAACGTGCTGATTATGCTGCAGAACACTCTGGGGAGTAGTAGCAGGGGTTGTATGAACTAGTCACTAGTAGACTTACCCGCTCTATAGTGACTTTTTATGCCTGTCATCGACTAGTCGCTGTCACGTGATAATGACCGACGAGATGCAGTCCTCGGAAAAGACAGCAGCCTGCTGTCAGCAGGTGACAAGCTCCTGCGTGTCGAGAGGCAACGCGCTGTGCCAGAGCGTCGGTACTGACACCCGCCCTAAAACGGACATTTAACCAAATTGTGACGTTTACCCTCTTGCAATTTAACCTTCCCCTCACCCCCATCCTAACCTTAACCAGCTTGCGCATGCAAAGCTCTGATTGTTGACGCGCTCCAGACATCTGCGTCCTGAGCACGGCCACAGTAACATTATCAAATCAGGTGTTGCCACCTCAAAAACTAATTTAACACGCGATTGTTCATGTCGGCTCATTTCCTTTTATGTTTTCTGTCTTTTATTCTTTTATTTGTGCCTGATGCGTTTCGCTGCTGTGGATCGGGGCGCATCACCTGGTTTGTCCTCGGTGACGTACCTCACTGATGCGGCCGGCGAGCACTCTTCTGTTTTTGCGGTCGGTAGATTTTTTTAGAACTGCAGTTCAAAGGTAACTCATAAGGTGAATATATATGAACCCAGTTAGCAGTTTTTCTTTAGGATTGAGAGGAGATGCAGGAAGATAATAAACAGGCAGGACAGAAAAATAGTCAAATAAAAACAAGTTAGTTTTTGTACCTGGTGGTTGCAACAAACAGACACCATTGAAGGTAATCAGAAGTGAGGAACAGAAAATGAAATAATTATTTTAATGTTTAGAGCAGCAGGAACTCCGAGAGGCTGCAGGCGCATCAGTGAGTTTGCGGCCGCTGCACAGGGGGAGGGGGGGGAGGGCTGAAGCAGAAACTACCGTTGTTAAAAGAAATGTGTTTAACTTTGAAAATGTGGGCGCAATTTTAATTGTCAAAAACTCCAGCGAACCATTAGTTCATTTTGCTCAAATAGAAATTGAGGCCTGCCTCTAATTCTGGTCCTCCTTCCAATACAGGCCTGGAGCTTGATGAGCTTGAGTCAAATACAGACCCGGGCCTGTATTAGAGGATTTATGGTACTTAATTTTAATAGTGTGTATTTAATGAGAAGGAGGCCGGTTGGTGAAGTTGGCATGTGCCTCTGGAATAATCCTGGATCAACTTTGCAGTGGATCAGAACATAATGGGACCTTTTGCACACAAATAAAAGAGTGTCAAGGGTAATGTGCATAAAGCTGTTTTTAAACTATTACAAACTAATCTAACTAATCTGGGGCAGCAGTAGTTCAGGAGGTAGAGCGGGCTGTCCAGTAAATGGAAGGCTGCCGGTTCAATCCCGGTTGTCTTGGGCAAGACACCCAACCATCCTTTCCTGCTGGTGGTGGTTGGAGGAACCA